GCGGCGGCTCCTCCCCTTGGCGCTGCTGTGGCAGAGCGGGACTGGGCGTGCGCCTCACTGGAGCCACCGCTCGGCCCCTCCACAAAGGCGCACACGCTTTGAAGTTGAGGCAGAGACTGATACTCTCCCCATTTGCCCTACAGCCTCCCTCAGGCCTTAATCCAGCCGTGTCGCCTCCAGACTCTCCCCTGGGCAGATTTTCACACGGCTGCTGCCCCATGATGGGGGGTTTTACAGCTCGCCTCTGGAACTGGCCATTATTGGAGACAAGATACAGGGCTAGATGCATTGTAGCTCTGTGCCACTCTGGCAAGTCCTGTGTTTCTAAATAAGCCTTCACCTTTCCTGAGTACTTTGAAATAGCTGTAGGTTTCCAGCACAATTTTGTTTGACCCTTTTTAGTTTGACTGAGTTGTCCATTACTCCTGAAAACAGTTATACACATGCTTAGCATTAAGGACTTCAGTCCCATTAAGTTCTGTGAGACAGGAATTTAAAATGAAGCTTGGGTATGTGTTTGTAAGATTGGTGCCTATGACTATTTTATGGGAAAAGGACAGCAATCCTTTTGTAAATTTCTGTCACTTAAATTCTTGCAGGGGAATGTTTTAGATACATCAGGTTTTATTTATAAATAAGTAATATATTTACACAATTACATTTATTGAGTTGCTTTTCAGATATTTTGGTTGCTTAAACATTTCTGTTCCTGCATGTATTTATTAAAGCATAATAAACACGTAGAAGGGCAATCTCTTTCCTGCTTCACTGGTGATAACATACCTAGCCAATCTTGCCATTTTGTGAATAGGAAGTAGGGTTGTTTTACTGATCCTAAAGGTGTATGGTCTGAACCATGAAGTGGATTACCTTTGCTTGTTCACTATAATATAACTAGCTTTGCACTGAAGTATTCACTTGTAAAAATCAAAGTACAGTTGTAGTGTTAGTGCTCGTAATTTTTGTGATATTCTGTGCTTCTTCTGACAATCTAAACATAAATGAAAAAAATGACATGTAAAAGCAATGTAAGACTTGTAAAATTTCAGTTTTGTACTACTTTATAAAAGTGTCTAGCTTATAACCATTTGGGTATTAAAAGAATTTACTTGTCATAGTAGCACCCTCAGTTATGCTGAGATGAAATGTTGCAATAGCTGCCTTTCCATGTCTTCTCTGCCCCCAAAAGGTGGGCAAATAAAGGCAAAAAGGATAACTGAGAAAACTGTCAGAAAAAATAATTAATTTAATGAAGTAATGGTCAGTTAATAATACAAGACATAGTTCTATTACCACAAATTAAAAGGAAGGGTTGGAGAATACTTTGTTGTGCTGGAAAGGGGTGTTATCCCTCTGGGGCAGAGTTAAGGATATGAGGAGTGACTTGTGATGTATACCAGTGTGGTAGTAGTAAGAGAGGTGTCTGTGGAAAAAGCAATGGGATTATATATGCTCATTTATACTCTCCTCAGCTGCCTCATTCTTACTCTCCTCAGTGCTAACACTGGTCTGACTTACCATTTGCCAGCTAACGGATGATGATTTGCTGATTGTGGAACTGTGGAAGGAGCTGGTATTGTGCTTTTACTCACTGAAGTGCAGCTACCTGTATTACAGAGATAAGCAGAGGAGCAGCCTAGTAACTGCAGTTCTATGGGGAGTTCAACTACCAGCTGGTCTACCGCTTTCGTTCTTTAACTTGCAAATCTCCTTTGGTTTGTCACTTTCTATAAATAAATGTAATCATTACAATGGGATCAACTGAATTAGCCTACTTCCCACAGAAATACTATAATGGATTTAATACTGATCAAGTATGCTTTATTCCCTAAACTGGGGAAAATCTTAAAAATCATTTACCTAATCATGCTGTGAATACCTCAATTAATGTTGGAACATTTAACTTCGTTTCAAGAAATAGACATTTGTTGATATGTTGTAGTGCTGCTAAGGCATGTGTATTTTGAATTTGTTGAAGGTTGTCTTATTAAGATTGTTTGGACTAGAAAAATTATTGTAAGTGTTGGGTAAGTTGCTGTAAACAGCTTTGTTGCTTTTCATGGACAGTGTAGTACAAAACCAAGAATGGGCAAGGGCTTAGCTCATCCATGGTTTTACGTGTGGGTTATATTTTGTGTCTGTCCTTTTCTGCCTGTGCTTATTTTCTGATCCAAGTTATAAGTATCAAGGTTATTGAATGTCAGCCCAGCATGTTTTTTTGGGTTTAATCAATGTACCACGGCCAGTCCAAGGTTTGGTTTTGTCTACTTGTCAGACACTGTCTCTGTAAATTCTACCATTGAGAGAGAGAGAAACTTTATTTAGTAGTATGATTACAACTCTGAATCAGATTTTCAGATATTGATTGGACCAGAGATCCTGGCTATTCAGGGAAAAAGCCACCGTTCCAGCCTTCAGTTGACAACGGTTACCAACTAACTGCCATCAGATTGCCAAAGGAGTATCTGCTTTTTTCCCTCTTTTCCTTTCCCCTCTTTCTCTAATCTCTGTATCTGTGTGTGAAGAAACTTATCAGACAAAACAAACAATTTTCTAAGTTGAGCACATGTTTGAAGTTCAGTAAGGACAAATGCAAAGTACACTGCCTAGAGAGGAACAATCAGTTTCACACACACAAAATGGAAAGTGACTGTTTAGGAAGGAGTACTGCAGAAAGGGACCTAGGAGTCCTAGAGGACCACAAGCTAGATATGAGTCAACCAGAGTGGCATTGTTGCAAAAAAGCAAACATAATTCAGGGCTGCATTAACAGGAGTGTTGTGAGCAAGACACAGGAAGTAATTCTTCCCCTCTATTCTGTGTTTAGGCCTCAACTGGAGTATTGACCTATGTGGGAAGAGTGAAAAAATTGGATTTGTTTAGTTTGGAAAAGAGAAGACTGAGAAGGGGACATGACAGCAGCTTTCAGGTACCTAAAAGGATATTACAAGGAGGAGGAAGAAATTATTCTCCTTAACCTCTGATGATGGGAAGAAACAATGGGTTTAAATTGCAGCAAGGGAGGTTTAGGTTGGACATTAAGAAAAAACTTCCTAACTGTCACAGTGGTTAAACTTTGGAATAAATTGCCTGGGGAGGTAGTAGAATTTCCATCATTGGAGATGTTTAAGAGAAGATTGGACGGACATTTGTCAGAGATAGTCTAGATTAGGGATTACCCTTAATGGGTGATGCTTACTGGTTACAGTTAACTAGTGGTGACTGAAGCAGCACGCCCCCCCCCATGGCAGACAGGGGGCTGCTTCAGCCCTGTGGGGCCTGCTGTAGGGGGGCATTCCAGCCCAGCCTGACCAACCCTCCACCTGCTTGCCTGCCTCTAATTGGTTAAATAGGTTTACTAATTAAACAGGCTTCGAGAAGTAGCCATGTTAGTTTATAACTTTAAAACAATGTGTAGTCCTGTGGCACCTGAAAGACTGACTAAAATATATAGAGAATATCATGAGTTTTTGTGGGCAAAACACACTTCTTCAGATGAGCAGGATTAAACAGGATTATATATCCCTAATCTAAATGGTGCTTAGTCCTGCTGTAACTGCAAGAGACTGGACTTGATGACTCGGGGTCCCTTCAAGTTTTCTGTGATTTTGGTTGTCACGTGACTAATATTCCATCATCTCAGAAGAAAGCTGAGAAACAAAATTGGTTTTGTAGTTTACAATTTTTCCTACATAACTGGGCTAAGAGAGAAGAAGATTAATTTACACTTTGCAATTGAAAAGTAAGGCTGAGACTGTTGAAAAGAAACCTAATACTACACCTGGAATGCAGTGTTACATCTACACATCAGAATAAACCAATAATCTTAATGGAAGCTATAGCAGTTCTTGTTGTTGTCCCATGGGTTGCATAAATCACAATGTGTGTTAGTCCATGGGACACGTTAGTAGAAATTACAAGAAAGAAATGTCCTTAGTAGGGATGTGAACGTATAAACCAATACACAGTTCACCAATAAGCCTGGGCTTTTAAGCCAGCTCCCTGCAAATACCGGCTTCCGTGGTACTGCCTCTGCCTTCTCCCCTGCACTACTACCTCTATATCAGAGGCAACAGTATGGGAGGGGTGGAGTCAGGAGCCACTTCCTCCCCTCCCCTGCTTGTAAACGTGTAACAACTGAAATTTTCAACGGTTACACATTTACCTATATATATGCATTTTAACATCTTTAGTCCATAGAGTGGGAGATGGATCTGGAGGAATGTCCATCCCCCTTTAAAAAACGTGCAGATATTGAACCTTAATAACCAAATCCTATAACCATTATTTTAATTCGCCAGGATTTTCTGGGTTAGGGTACTTACCAACCATTCTGTTTTCTCTGTGGTAGTTTAGGTCAGCTCTGCCTCTTTAATGAAATACTCAAAAAGAAACTATGCACACAGAAATCAAGGCGTATCCTGGCTCCTTTGGGAATTTTTTCCCAACCTATGAGAGAATCTGGTTCTCTGTATATTTTCCCACTAACTGTTCCAAAGTAGGATGAATTAAATTCAAGCTCACAATGCAGAGGCCATTTGATATTTTTTGATTAAGTGCAATATTGTTTTATTTAGAAACATAAAATCACTTGCATTTAGCAATGTGTAGTATTTTAAAAATAGAGAACATAACACCATATTTACTTAAGCAGATCACAGTGTTTTTAATGTAATGGAAGAGAAGACAGGACCATTGCAGCATATGTCCAAAGGAATCTTCACAAGAGGTATTTTCTTCCAATATGTCTTGAATTCAGTGGGCCAAATTCTCTTCTAGCTTAACACTATTGACTTCAGTGAAGTTTTGCCAGAGGAGCATTTGGCCTTATACCAGTGCAAATAATACTTGAAAATTCAACTCAATTTGCTTAATTGTAATATATAATTTTGCACCCAAAAGTAGGCAGTTTGGCCCTACCTGATGACTACATGCAGTAGTTCTTAATGTTGTTGCGTTGCTGAGGAAAGATATTTTACTAACTCCTGCAAGAACAATTTCAATTCAATATGAAGAAAATATTTTCTTATTAGACACATGAGGGCAGCGAAGGACTTTTGAAAACACACTTATAGAGGGCACTGATATAAAATTCACCTTTATTGGAAACATACATGTATCCCAGATTAATTTACAATAAAATATCTGTGTAGCAGATCCGGAGGAAATTGTGTTTCTGCTGGGTTTGCCCTCTGTGTGTGCTAAAAAGGTATGTCAGTTTATCTTGTTCAGAGGGACAGAGAAACAGTGTTGATAACAATGCTTGTGCCCTTTTCCGATGACACTGTTTTATCTGGGAGAATGGAAGAACAACAAACAACAGAAGATATGGGACTGAGGGTATGTCTACACTACAGAATTTTTTCTGAAAAACAGCTGTTTTTCCGAAAACCTTCAATTACGTCCACACTGCAATTGCGTTTTTCAGAAAAAAATCGAAAGAACAGTGTGTTTTTTCCGACATTGGTAATCCTCTTTCTATGAGGAAGAAGCCTTTTTCTGAAAGAACTCTTTCGGAAAAAGGCATGTGTGTGGATGGGGAAGAGGGAGTTCTTTTGAAAGAAGAGGAAAGAAGAAAAAGCACTGGTGCCCTGGTGGCCACTCTATCCATAGTAATCACAACTGAGGAGGGGGAATAGGAACCATTCCACATTAGCAGAGTGTGAACATATTTTGTAGCCTATTTTCTTTTAAAATGCTGCTGTTTTAGAAGATGAGCACAGCTTTAAAGAGTTTCAGTGAAGATTTGTTAATGGCCAAAATGTGAGAAGCCCAAAAGATAAGGATTATGTAGAGATTTTATTTTATCATAACAAATAATGCAGAAAGTTAGATTTACAAATTAATGCAATAAGGTATGTCTGAGATGAAGAAAGACGTGGTGTTAAAAGGTGTTTTTAAACCATGGCCAATAATGAGTTGTGTTAAATAGCAACTGCATAAGATACTGGGGGGTATGGCTAGACTGCGGCAGGGTTTAGGGATACCAAAGATATCCTGAAAAAACTCCGCCGTGTCCAGCGAACGCGTTTGCACTTGCACTGTTTTTTGCAGAAATGCAAACACGCTCTTTCGGAAGCCCCTGTATCTCTTGTTCTATGAGGAAGAAGGGCGCTTCCAAAAGAGGGTTTTTTGCGACATTTGGCCCTGTGTAGACGGGGCCAAATGTCAGGAAAGCCTCTTCCGACAAAAGAATCAGAAAAAACTACGCAAAATGTGTAACTTTTTACGAAAAAAGATGTAGTCTAGCCGTACCCAGGATGAAATGTTACCTTCAATTCTGATAGAGAGTTAAGCAGCAGTAACCAGGTCTATTAATTTTTGTGAACAGCAATCCCATGGAAATAAGATGTAAAAATAATGTGCACAATTTGCCAAATAGCTCCTTTTTGTACCATATTGCTTGCAGCCTTTGAGAAAGAGACATTTTTATGTTTGCTGCAAACTCCCAAATGACACATCTAGAGGTAAAAAGACAACTTTTCCTAAGAAGATTTGTTGCAGTGAGTAAGTGTAAGGCAGGGGGTTGGCAGACTTTTTGGTGTGTGAGCCACATTGGATTTGGAAATTGTATAGAGGGCCAGGTAGGGAAGACTGGGTGAGGTTGTGCCTCTCAGAGCAACTAGGTGTGGCCCTGATCTACACCTCCCTGATCAATCTCCCTGATCCCTGGGATCTGCCTTCTATTCAACCACTCAAACTCCAACCCTTTTCCAACCCTCCCATGCCCCCCATGTCCTGACTTCCCCAGGACCCATCACTTATTCAACTGCTCCTTTCCCCCATCTCCTGATTACTCAGCCCCCCTGCTCTCCACCCCCTGACTCCACTCCACCCCAGGAACAGCCATCTATCCAGCCAACTCACTCCCCAGGTGCTGGTGGAAGTTGAGGCAATGAAGGAAGGAGGACAAATGGGGAGGGGCTGGGGTTTAGCTGTCACTGGTCACTGTGCTGCCTGGGAGACAGCCTTATTGAAGTCAGTGGGAGTGTTGCCATTGACTTGGATGTGGTCAGAATTTGATCTCTAGACACTTACCCAATATCAAGCTTCATGATGTGAATTGTGAATGAAGGTTGGGACTAGGACTTATTCCCAGTGCACACAATACTAACTAGGTACGTCTACAAAGCAAGAAAGATCAGGGGCAGTAAGTCTCGGAACCCCAGGGGTAGCGGGTGTTTTTGGAATGCATGGCTAAAAATAGCAGTGCAGAAGTTCTTGATTGGGCTGGACCTCCAGCTCAGAAGCCTGGAGAGAAGGGAGGGTCTCAAACCCAGCCTACAGCCTTAGTCTGAATATCCACTGCACTTTTTTAACCCTTCCCCCCTTGCTCAAATCTTGATTGCTGGAGTCTGTTGACCTGTACTCAGACTTGCTGCTGCAAGGTTGTTTTGTTTGTCTAAGTTCTACGTTGTGCACGGTAAATGGAAGTTTAACAACTATATTAGACATATTTCTTCTGACTCTTCTTGAGCAAGTAATTGCTGGTTCAGTGAACATCATTTGTAGTGCGTCTCTAATTAAACATAATTGTAAAAACCCCACTAAACATCTGACTGCAAGTTAAGAAAATCTTAGTTAAGGCTTCTTATTCCAAACTTAACCCACACCAATGTGCTTGGGTGACACTGTGCTTTGAGAATAAGTTGAGAAGAAGCATGCTATCCATGCACTAATTCTGTTCCTAGTCAGACTCTTAACAGTATTTTAATGTGGGGTATTTTTGTTTGTTTGTGTGTTTTAATATCATTCATAGTTAGCTAGAGCAAATGGGATAAAATTAAAGCTATAACTGAAAGGATAGAGGGTGACCTCGCTGGATCTGATAATGTTTAGCTCTTGGTATATATTCATACCTATGAGAGTCATAGCTATGACAACCTAACTCTAGTGTAGACATACTTAGAACAAAGGAAGTATTATTCTGCCTGCTTAGCTATTACCACTTGGATTGGTGGATTACTTACTACAGAAAAAACCCTTTCATTTCTATACGGGGCATCTACACCATGGCACTACAGGCACAGTGGGTATTAACAAAACTATTGAAAATTGCATATTGAATACTGTACTTTACTCAACCATTCATAGTACCCTGCTGAGAGGTGAGGAAATAAACTAGATGACCCATGAGGTCCCTGCAGACCCTTATTTTTGCTATAACATGACTGTGCTTTCAGTTGAAAGCCATCTTTTTGGGGGAGGCATTCATTATTCAAGTGTTGCTGTTTGGAAAAGTAGTAATAAAATGTGCCTCGTACAAAGTAACACTGATTAGAAATTGGGAGAAAATTAAAAGCAAATATGCTTTAACTACATTGAAAGACTGAATGCCCAGAGTTGAGAGAGATTTTCCTTCACTGAAATTAATGCAGTCATTTTATGAATAAGAATTTAAGCGTATTTGAAACTCAGAAGGAAGTACCAACAATGAACTAAACTCATATACATTTTAGCAGCATAAAAATCACTCATCCAGATCAATTGTTGGGGTTATTATTTATTTATTGCCCACATTTGGACTTAATATTCAAAATTATTTCAAATGAAATATTGACTGTGGTATTTATGCTTTTTCGATGTTATAAAAACATATGTGTTCACACAAATATATTGTGAGCTTTGTTCTGAATTTACATGGGGGTAAAACAAAAATAATTCCATTGATATCCGTGAAATAGCCCTGGTATAAAATCAATGTCCTAAACGGCAGAAACATGCCTTATGCATTTAGTTAGTTATGGACCTTGGCTTGCAGCTTCAGTTGTTAGAGTGAAGGATAATATATTTTTACAGCCTCTAGTCTTTCTCTTACAAAACAGCAATTTCAGCTTTCGGTATAATTGCCTAAATGGTTGTACAAGTGAAGTTTCCCAGAAGATTAAATTACATTGTTTAAAAAAAAATACATGAAGTCAAAAATGATTCCATTAATTATTCAGGAATATTTACTGTATTTGGGATTATTTAAAATATTTTAAGAATTTATTCCACCCTTCCTATGTTACTGAGACTTAAAAATCCCCATTTTAAAGGAATATGGACAAGTTTATCCATCTTAAATTTAGATCCACCAGCATTGTTTTGATTCATGAAAATACTGCACTGTCCTTTGGCATTGCCCACAAAATAGGGCCTCTGAAAGATACATTTTCAAAAGAGCTCTGTTACCATATAAATTCCTATATGCTGTGGACAGATTTTCAAAAGTTTCCAGCACTAATCAATTTGATATGTTGATGTATAACTGAAGAAATGGCAAAATGGAAGGGCAATCATTTCTTATATGACTCCCCATGATTAAGAAGAAACTTATTACCTCAGGTTTTTTGTAATTAGGTCCTCTAGCTGAGAGGCTGTGAGTTTATTAAATCTGCAACCTTCTCTCTTGAGGGAGAGTTAGTAGAACATTAAAAAAGGTCATGCACAAAAAAGGTTTTCAATAAATGTATCTAGCTTAATAGAGAGATCATTTGATATTTTCAATTGTCTCAATATTTTTTCTCTTTATATGTTATAATTGCCAACCAAGTATAAAATAAGAGTTTATACTGTTCAGTTCATCTTATCTGATTGGGTGCTTCAGTACAGTAATAAAATAATTTGGCATTAAAACATCACATTTGTTTCCACAGCACCATAAAGTAAGGAGAATAGAATTATCACCTGAAAATGATGCTAGGTTTTGAGAAAGGGAGGGGAAATCTTTAATATTAGTCGTCATCAGAAATGTTTGAAATTTCAGTTGAAAATAGGAAATCCTTTTTGTTGATAAATGTTTTCTGTATTCCAAATAGTTCTTGTGAACAGATGAATATCTGAAGGAGCCTATTGCTTACAGAAATATATTTCTATGAATGTTCTTTGGTTGTCAAGCTTAAGCTAACTTGAAAACCAGTCTTTAAGTTGTTGGGCCTGTTAGCCTTGACAATAGACCTTTAAACTGTTCATGTGGTACTAGACTGCAATAATGATCGTAACAATGTCTGGCTGAATTAATTTATGATATGCAAATATGCAAATATGTGATACTTTGCACTGTAATCTATCATGGGGTTGCCAGATGCTTTCAACAAAAATACCAGACACATTTGACATTACATCACAATCTACATTACATCTTATTTAGAAAATACCGGACATTTATATTTTCTCAATTTGTTTCCCGAACAGAAAGCTCAAATACTGGACTTTCCAGTTCAAAACTGGACACCTGGCAACCCTAAATCTATGGGGCTACAGAAATAAAATTCACAGACAGGCATCAATGTGTAATATGATCAGAATACATTCTGCTTATTTTTCATACCTTGCGCCAATCTGACATGGACTCAGCCACTTCTCTGCTTGTTGACAGGCTACCATATCCAGATACCATGTAGTTTATTTTTCATTTCTGGTATGAGATTTCCTATTATATAATTCAACATAATTTACAGAGGTGACTGTTGTGTACTTAACCTTCTGGCATGAGGCAGTGATAGTAACTCTCCTTAGCTCAAATGACAGTCGGAGATGCAACAATTATAATACTTCCTATCTCTCAAACCATGCACCAGCTCTGAAGATTGTTCAGAGTCATCAGTTCAAGGCCTCTAAGGGCACAGCTACACAGCAGGGCAAAAGTCGAATTACGATATGCAACTTCAGATACGTCAATAGCTTAATTCAGCTCTTAGAGCTGTCTATGCAGCAGGAAGTCTAAGGAAAAACACTCTTCCTTCAACTTCCCTTACTCCTAGTGAAATGAGGGTTACAGAAGTTAGAGTAAGAAGTCCTCCAGCTTTCCATTATTTTGAAATAATGGCTTGCTGTGTAGATGTGCATTTTGTTATTTCGAAACAATGTCAGTTATTCCGACATAATGTTGCTTTGTAGATGTACTCTAAGAACTAGAAGATGATAGTCACCTTATTGTTCGCCCCTCTGCAGTTATGTCTAAAATGGCGTGCTTAGTGTTGGTAGTAGTATTTAAGTTTGATAGTATGTGATTTTGCTATTACTTCATTGTTTGATTAAATATTAAGAGGCTGATTTTTCATTGCCAGGTATTTTGTGTCATTGTTTACATCCCCCCGTATATTTAAAGTGAATGCAAAGTGGGTTTATAATGCTTCCAAATCAGACTTTTTCTATCCATATCATATAGATTTAAGGGACTATACTTGATGGCAGGCAGTAGAGTTTATCTGAATGCAATTTAAATGTACGTTGAGTAATTTATTACCATTATGTCAAAGGAATAATGTAAAAATGAATTATAGCAAATGTTAATATAATTTATCTATCCCATTTTTCTCTTAGCAGAAAAAGCAGGTCATTCCTAAAATACAGAATACATTCTCTTCAGTATTAAAAGCTCAGACTGACTGGCCCCAACAGTTAAATAATTGAGATGTTCTTTACCTAAACTGTGCATTGTAATTTGGAGCTGATTCTATCTTGAAGTATGTGGAACTAAAGACAGTTGGGGCCAATCCAGAAGAAAAATAACTGCTCTACACAGAGGTACTTATTTAGCTTAGCTCCAAGAATAGACAAAAAATTTAAGGTTCATTATAAGCAGATCTGATTAAGGAAGCCATGAGATTTTTTTCCCCCCTTCTACTTAAAAGACAGCCAGATCACAGCTTTGCCCACTGTAACTCCTTATGGTCAGATCCCCTACTCATAACTCTGGTCATCTGAAGAAGTGGACTGTGCCCATGAAAGCTCATGATACCATCTACATTTTTTGTTAGTCTATAAAGTGCTACCAGATCATTTGTTGTTTTTTTTTTCTTATGGTCAGTTACTAGCATAAATTCCTTTAGAAAACAATTTTTAGATTCACTTGATATGAACATTTGAGCATGTAAGCTTAGCATTTGTTTTTCATGTTTATTTATGGTAGCCAAATTCATTTGCACAAATGTTTATGATAAGCAATCATAAATAGGACAGATTCTTGGCTGAAGTTAAAAACAAACAAACAAACAAACAAACAAACATTTTTCAGTATTTGTTCAAATATACAGAAAAATAATGACCAGATTTATCTGGCATTGCCCAG